TAGTGTTTCAAGATTTAATTCATACAGTGATTTTTATGTGAAGCTTGCATTTACAGTAGGAGGGATTTACTTCTTTAGCCATCTTGGGGGGAACAGCGAACAATTGCCTGTACAAAGCCCCTTCCTTGAGGCTTTCAGCAGACTTTCTGTTATCTAGTGCCCAGATCCAAATCCTTGCTCAGAGTTGTTTTTTTTTTCCAAAAGGTTTTTCTAACAGACATTATTATCTGTTAGTGCCCTCTGCTGGACTTCCTCCAAATTCTTCTTGACTTGAAGCTGGAGAGCCCAGAATGGACACCCAGGTCGTCCAAGGTCTTCATGAAAACGGAGTGGTTGGGAGGTGGCCCTTGACCTTCTGGCATTCCATATCCATGAACACCCTAGTCTGGTGTTGCTTTCTTCATGACCTCAGAAGATGGGTAGATGCATTTAGGGAGCAGAACGAGCTTCCTGGGGGGCCTGCATCATTTAAAAAGGCTCATTTAGGGGCGCCTGGGTGGCTCAGTGGGTTAAAGCCTCTGCTTTCGGCTCAGGTCATGATCCCAGTGTCCTGGGATTGAGCCCCGCATCGGGCTCTCTGCTCAGCGGGGAGCCTGCTTCCTCCTCTCTCTCTGCCTGCCTCTCTGCCTACTTGTGATCTCTGTCAAATAAATAAAATCTTTAAAAAAAAAAAAAAAAACTCATTTAAGGGCGCCCGAGTGGCTCAGTCCTTAAGCATCTGCCTTTGGCTCAGGTCATGATCCTGGGATCAAGCCCCCCCATGTCAGGCTGCCTGCTCAGCGGGAAGCCTGCTTCTCCCTCTCCTGCTCCTCCTGCTTGTGTTCCCTCTCTCTGTGTCCCTCTCTGTCAAATAAGTAAATAAAATCTTAAAAAAAAAAAGGAGGAAAAGGCTCATTTAAGAGAAGAGTTAAAAGAGTTGATGTGAGAGGGTGAGCCAGCCCCTGAATCTCTGGAAATTCTGCTCAACAACATTATCTCACGGGAATGGAGTGGAGGAGTGCGTGGGTGGCCATCTCACTCTTTAAGACTGTTGAAAAGCAAGTTCCGAACATGGGAGGACAGGGGACCAGCCCCTTCCCGGGAGCTGTAAGGGAGGGGTTCTGTGTACCCTAGGGCTCTTGCCACCAGGGATTCCTGCCTTTTTTTCTGGTGTCACCTTTCTGGCGTGTTCCCTGCTTGCCCTCAATAGGAGTGTCTGCCCCCCTGCACCTCGTCTGTCTTCTGGTGTTGCGGCTTCGCCTTGTGTGGCCAATACTCGCACCTTCTCTGGGCCTCCTTTATGTCCCCGTCTCCTAGCACAGTGTCTGGTACATAAGTGTTTAGTAAACAGAGCTAAAATAGAATGTCTTTTTTTTTTTTTAAAGATATTATTTGAGATAACAGAGTGAGAGAGAGAGAGAGGGGAGAGTGTGAGCAAGTACATGAGCAGGGGCAGAGGGAGAAGCAGGCTCTGCTGAGCTGAGAGCCCAATGTGGGGCTCGATCCCAGGATCATGACCTGAGCCAAAGGCAGACGCTTAACTGACTGTGCCACCCAGGCACTCCTAGAATGCCTTCTCTTCTCAGTTCTGTCTGTCCTGAATCTCTCTGAATTTCAAGTGTCCGCACTAAAAGCCTTGTTGTCAGGACAGTCTTTCTTCTTTCTCTTACTGGCCTGGTATTTTATGTTTCTGGAACATTTAGTATTTCCTTCTAAGAGTTAGGATTTTCTGCCCTTTTGTTTATTTTTCTTAATCCGGGGGCTAGGGGGGCACGTAGCAGGTAGAGGGAGAAGCAGGCTCCCCGCTGAGCAAGGATCCCAATGCGGGACTCGATGTGAAACTCAATCCAAGGACTTTAGGATCTTGACCTGTACCGAAGGCAGCTGTTTAACTGGCTGAGCACCCCCACCCGGGGCGTCCCTGATTTCCTACTCTTAAATGTAAAATATATTGCCTCTTCCTTTCCAGACTGTAAACACTGTGAGCACAGGATCCTTCCCTGACTCATGTCTTTATGGTCCAGGACCCACAAAATGATGCCTTACACTGAATAAGAGCAAGAATGACAGTAACACACAGCAGTTCATGGGCGGCACACACTGTTCTCCATGCTTCCCATATGTTCATTCTTTAATCTTTGCAACAGCTCTGTAAGGTCAGAACTATCACCACTAACATGGACCTTCCATTTTGTAGGTAAGGAAAATGGCATTAAATCATTTGCTTGGGGTCAGGTCATGCGGGCGCAGAGGAGCCTGGCTTCAGTCCCAGGCAGTGTGTTCTGGAGCCTAGACCTAAAACCGTTGCCTGATGCCGCCTCCCGCTGGTACATGTGCCCACGGACCGCATTACATAAATATTTGTCAAGTGCATGCAGGTTAATGTTTCTTGGTGATTTAGAACCAAGAAACCGTCTGGAGGAGATCCATTGGCGCTTTCATCTCCACCATCTAAACTGCTTCCTGAGCAAGGGGCAGGCCAAAAGGGGGCACCAGAAGGTTGCTTCTAGTTTGGGTTTTGGAAGTGAGGGAATGGCTTCGGTTCTGGTTTGGAAGTCAGCAGTGCCACCTAGTGGGACAGCTTGTGAACAGCCACTCAGAATTTTTCTGAAACCCTGGTACATCGTCATTTAATTCTGGGAGTCCCTTGATTAGCTTAAAGTTTTGATTGCCAGAGAGAGGGTAGGGTGAGAAGGGAGGAGCCAGGAGGAATGGAGTCAAACCAAGTCTCTTCTTTGAAGAGGCTGTAATGCTGATCTTGGGCCTCTGGGTTGGTTGACTGCCGTTGGCTGTTCCACTCCGCCTTGCACGCGCTGCTGGTGGTGTAGAGCGGCTTTCCTCTCGTAATGCTTGCCCGGTCTGCTTTGGAATTTGAGTTCCAATCAGCTGTGGGTGGCCTTACCCTAGTGCCACACGTATCCCAGGTTCTGTAGGAGACTCCGTGCCCGATGCATTATAACAAGTTAGTCCCGGTGTAAGAAATCCCATGGGTCAGCAACACCGTGGCACAATTTTGTGAGGAGCAGTTTTGTTTTGTTTTAAGATATTATTTATTTATTTGACAGAGAGATCATAAGTAGGCAGAGAGGTAGTCAGAGAGAGGGGGATGCAGGCTCCCTGCTAAGCAGAGAACCAGATGTGGGGCTCGATCCCAGGACCCCGAGATCATGACCTGAGCCGAAGGCAGAAGCCTAACCCACTGAGCCATCCGGGCACGCCTGAGGAGGAGTTTTTAATGGGTGAGTCTTTGAGACCTCACGAAGGGGAGGAAAAAGGAGGAGGAACCACTCCACGGGGAACAAGTAGGAACAAAAGTGGTCTGTGTTGAGTAAATGAAAGAGAAAGGATTTGTGTACACACTTGGGTTCTGCCAGGCAGTTGGAGGCTGTCTGTGTTTGGTGCTCTTCTGATTTCCGGTGTATGTATGTGCTTGAAAATTTGGTACAGGTTGCTTCTAAGTTCGTTTACTTCTTGCTGAAAGAAAAGAGTCTAAGAGCGTAGTGATAAGTATGACCACAAAAAAATCACGTCCCACTTTGGGGGAGAGCGCACAGGGATGGGAGCAAGCTCTCACCCTGCCAGACTGCAGAGTTTCAACCGACCTGGGGGTCTCATCTGAGGAATACAGTCCCTGGAGATGAGGGATTTCTTTTGTGCTGAGCCGTCCATCAGAACAAGGAAACAATTGGGTTCTACTGGAGCCTGGGTTATAGTGACATTTATGGTAATAGCAATTTATTAATAGACTCTCTGCAAAGCAGGGGGTTTGCTAGCTTTTTCTGTAAGGGTGCAGATAATAAATATTTGAGACTGCAAGTCTAATGAAGTCACGACTTGCTTATTCAGCTCTGCCTTAGCTCTTCCTTGACAGGGCAGCCCCAGAGGATATGTAAATGCGTGGGTGTGGCCATGTTCCAATAAAACTTTATTCATGACTCTGAAGTTTGAATTTCCTAACAATTCTCATGTGTCTGTGAGATGTTCTTTTTTTTTTTTTTTTTTTAAGATTTTATTTATTTATTTGACAAAGATCACAAGTAGGCAGAGAGGCAGGCAGAGAGAGAGGAGGAAGGGAGGAAGCAGGCTTCCCGCTGAGCAGAGAGCCCTGATGTGGGGCTTGATCCCAGAACCCTGGGATCATGACCTGAGCCAAAGGCAGAGGCTTAACCCACTGAGCCACCGAGGCGCCCCTGTGAGATGTTATTCTTGTTTTGACTTTTCCCCCTAACCATTTAAAAAAACAAACATCATTCTCAAAGGGCAGTAGAAAGAAACAATGGGCAGCTTCGGGTTTGGCCTGGAGGGCTGGAGTTTATTGACTTCTGATCAGATGCTTGGATTAGTTAATGAATAACAATAAAAATCGTGTGTTTAGTTAGTAGTCATAAGGTGCCTGGACAGCTTTTTTTCCTCTCAAGTAAGATGAAAGAGGGGCGAATTCCACATAACTCCCATGAAAGTGTTTTAAAGAGCAGAGCTCTGCACATTGAAGGCCTAGCTAGAATCATCTCCCCTGCAGGGTGGGTGTTCAGGAGTGGAGGGACTTACCCTGTAATCCCGCCATTATCCTCAACCTTGCTCTGCCTTCCCAGGAGGCAGAGAAGCTGCCTGCTGACCTCTGCCCCCACCAAGTGTTTCTCCCTGCTGCAGTCCCCCCCTCCCCAGTCTGTACCTGCTTCTGGAGTCTCCAGGGACGTTGAAGAAAAATGGGCTTGTTACCCTGCTCTACAGATAAAGAGGCCCAAGTGTAGAAAATGCTGGAGGCATTTGCTCCCCAAGACTGTGTAGACAAGGAAGAACCAGGGAACAGCAGGATCTTCCTCTTAGGCCTCAGATGTGATGGGTGGGGTTTGTACCAAATTGTGTCATTCCACCCGCCTCTGGCCTGTCAGTACATCTTGCTTAAAGTAACATGGGGGAACTTGTATCTTTGAAATTTTGTAACGTGGTTTCTTTGTCTAGATGACCTCCCCCAGTGTTGAGAAAGAAGGTAACGGTTCCTATCCTGTGTCTGTCTTCAGCAGCCAACAGAGCAGCCTGCAGAGCAGCCACGACGATGATTCCAGCAGGTTCCTGAGTCCCAGAGTGCGGGAGGAAAGGTAAGGCCAAGGGTGGAGAGAGGGGATGGGCTGAAACGTGGGAGTACAGTCGCCCTCCAGGCACTGGGGGAGAACCGTGGGCGAGGGGAGGAGGGAAGAGGGAGGAAGCTGCCAGACCTCTGTGCTCAGATCAGGCAGAGAGACGGGATGTTCGCCCAGGAAGTGAGAGGGGGCCGCGCAGACCGACGGCTTCTAAAGGCTTCTGCTGTTCAGCTGGGAGCAAGGTCAGCCCGTGGCGAACCCCAGATCCTGGGAAGACGCGCCAGCGGGCTTGGCTTGAGGCGCGTATTAGTGGCTGCGTGCAGTGTGGACAGGTCCGATGTGTGACAGCGGGTGACAGTGGAATAGCAGGATGGAGGTGGACTGTGGGCGTTAGAGGTCAAGGAGGGTGGACAGGCGAGGGGCAGTGAGTGTGAGGCCCCGAAGTGCTGGCTGGAGGGTTCGCGGTGCAACGAAGTTAAACGCTCAGGATGTGAGGACCAGACTCTGCTCCGTGGAGGGCCTGCGCGGTGGACGGAGGGGTCTGTTGTGGCAGGTGAGGCTTCGGTGCCCGCGAAGGGTGACTGGCCTGATGTTAACTAACCAGAAAGAGGTCTTCGTCGGGACGCCACAGGGCTCTGCATTTGGTTGTTCTCTGTCTACTGCTTTTGTCAATGCACTGGATGAGGAAGGAGAACGTACCTCTACATCCTTTATCAGACTTAGGGCAGACACTGAGCGGGGATCGAGAGAGAAGACTGAGGCCGACCGACTCAGGATTGAGTATTTCAGATGGAACAATGGGTGCAGACGACAATTTTTTTTTTAAAGGAAAGGTGCTAATATATTTAGTACTTAAAAATCTATATTAGAATAGTTTCTTTTTTAAATTTTATTTGTTTATTTGGTAGAGCACAGGCAGGGGGAGCGGGACAAGGAGAAGCAGGCTCCCCACTCTGAGCAGCGAGTCTGATGCGGGGCTCGATCCCAGGACCCTGAGATCATGACCTGAGCTGAAGGCAGAGGCTTCACCCACTGAGCTCACCCAGGTGCCCCCTAGAATAGTTTCTTAAACGTAGGATTTAGGATTATCTTTGAAAGTCCAGATTTGCTCATTAAAAAGAGAAAAAGACCTCACTGGTCTGTACTACTTGGATTATAACTGGTGTATCATGTCCAGTTCTTTGGAAGTAGATACTGATAAATGAAGAGTCCAGAAGGAATGGTCGGGATGATAATGTATTATAAGGACCGGTAGAAGGGAGAGTGGCTTAGCCTGGAAAGCAGAAAGTTCATGATGAGTAGAACACCGCTCTTAAAGTACCTGAAAATCTTAAGACATAGAGCGAGAGGCGGAGAGATCCTAGTGAGAAGGATTCCATCTCAGGATAAGGACGAACGCTGTGATGACAGTGTATCCCTTGGGTTCCAGCAAAAGCTGCATGGTGTGTCATAAGGGGAGCCCCTCTGGCCAAGAGCGTGGGGCTTGGGGAATCCTTGTACTTATCTCTTTACATTATAAAGTTGTGTAGTTCTTGGGGTGCCTGGGTGGCTTAGTTGTTAAGCATCTGCCTTCGGCTCAGGTCATGATCCCGGGGTCCTGGGATCGAACCCCACATTGGGCTCCCTGCTCCACGGGGAGCCTGCTTCTCCCTCTCCCACTCCCTCTGTTGTGTTCCCTCTCTCACTGTCTCTCTCTCTCTGTCAAATAAATAAATAAAATCTTTTTAAAAAGTTGTGTAGTTCTACCCCAGTTCTCAAGTATCAGTCCAGCTTATCAACTCAAACAGAGCAGATAGAAGGCAAAGGGCCACCAGGGGCAAAGACTAATCATTCTTGTCAAGATGCTTAATCAGTGACGATCCCATGGCAGTTCAGTCTGTCTCTTGAGTGGCCTACCCTCCCTTTCCATTGCTTTTTTGGAATTCATCCACCATACTCACAAAATTAGCAGGGCCCCATGAGTTCCCTTGGCCCAGCTCCCTTCCCTGTGCTTGGGCGTCAAACATCTCCTGAAGTGTCCTGTCCATTTCTGGTCATAGTGTCTTCAGTTGGTCCAGTTGGTCCTTGTACAGCAGCATTCTGACTGGTAGCTCCTCGACTCCTTTTATCTCGGCTGCTTGGGGGCCTTCCTCGGAGAGAGGGAACAGGTGGTGAGTTGTAGACTCTACATTTTTTCCCAAGGCAACTTCAGCTCTTCCTCTAGGACATGACTGCTTGCCAACTAGAGAGAGCCCTGCCTTTTGTTTGCTCTTTGGGATTGTATATTGCCATAAATTCTGTTCTAGCTCCTTCTCTGCCCCCTTCCTCAACCAAATGCAATGTTACAGCAGGTCTCCAGTCCGAACCTCTGCCCAGAAAAGTCCTCTAGATGTCTTCCCTGCTCCTTCCCACTCCCGGCCCCCTGATGGCTCCCTAACTCTTCATGGTGGACAGTGGATATAATTTTGCATCAGCTCACCTTGGACAGTACGGGAAACAAAATCTGACCAGAAGTCTGCTTCCCGTGGTGGTCCCTGCAGACCCTTGCCTCAGAAACTCAAGACTGGAATGCGTTCACCATGGCCATTCTGAATGAAGTCTTTTTTCTCTTCGCATCCAGTTGGTTCTCCTGGAGAGAACAGGTCCTCGGAGTGCTAATTAATCACCAGCCTCGGTTCACAGCAAACCCTCAACACTCTGCCCCTAACCCTTCCTCTAATATGTTTTTACCCAATTAAGAGACTCTCTGGGGCGTTTCGGATGCTGGCCCGTGTTCTCCTGGCCTGGGTCAAGCATGAGATCCAAACTCCGGGGAGATTGTCAGCAGTGGCGAGGGTCTGGCTCCTTGCTCCGGGCCCCCATCTGAGGGATGGTGCGCCCTGCTGGTTGTGGTGGCATTTCCCACAGAGGCGAGGCCTTTGTGTGACCTCCTGTATTCTCGTGACTCCCCTGGGAGGCTGCTGAGCAGGTATTACGGATCGAAAATTGTCAGGTAGGGGGCACCTGGTTGGCTCAGTGGGTTAAAGCCTCTGCCTTCGGCTCAGGTCATGATCTCAGGGTCCTAGGGTTGAGCCCCCACATCGGGCTCTCTGCTCAGCAGGGAGCCTGCTTCGCCCTCTCTCTCTGCCTGCCTCTCTGCCTACTTGTGATCTCTCTCTCTCTCTCCCTGTCAAAAAAAAAAAAAAAAATCTTAGAAAATGGTCAGGTAGGAGGCAGGTAGCCTAGACCCTTTTCTGTGGTTGCCCCTAATTCTCCATACCATGTGGTCAGTTCCAGGATGAGGGACAGTTTCACAGAACAGGCAAAAAAGGAAAAAAAAAATGAACATCGATTACTTCTGTCTTAAAGATAAAAATTCTAATCCTTCAGTGTAAAGTACACTTTCAGCTGTTAAGTAAGACACCGATTTTTCTTTTTCTTGTACAAGGTTCAGAATAGATGGGATATTTAGAGGCAAACTAGGGCCCATCTGGTAGTTTAACAAATGTCCACCTGATGGCAAAGGAGGAGATGCCACAATAGGGCATCCAAACCCAAGGGCTTCTGAGAGTTTTCCTCCTCATTCACATCAGTGTTGATTCCTGAAGGAGAAAGCCTTTGGGTCTGTAATAGGGGCAGGTCGGTGGGAGGGTGCAGGGAAGCAATCATTTCCTGGGCAGGTGTGCATCAAGAAGAGTTGATTTCAGGAAGAAATTCAGAAATGAGGACTGTCTCAGAGACAGGAACTCAGGTTTCCAGTAGAAAGAATAGACCCATCTTCTCCAAAGTCTGTATTTGTGTGTGTGTGTGTGTGTGTGTGTGTGTGTGTAATCAAATGTGGGATAGTAAATCTGTATTCATGCTTCTAGGTGAAGCCAGGGATACCCTTAAAAAACACTAGCTCCCAGGTTCAGCCCAAACCGGACCAACTGTCAGGGTTTCTCACATTGCCAGATCTTTATTTCGTACATTCATGTGATGGTAGGAACTGTCAAAGCCAGAGCTGTAGAAAAAGGATCTGTTTCACTGAGGATGGTTTATATACACAATGTTAGTTTCAATAGAACTCGGTCCTGGTTGACCAGGAAGCCTTTCCGCGTAGGAGGATGGAGCCCTGGGCAGGGCTGGGATGTAACCAAGCACCGAGGCTGGGCTGCCCGGGTTCATGTATCTGTCCCTGCGTGCAGTGTGTGTGCCCCAAACCTTCGCTAAGTGTCTGCAGGATGCTGGGGAGCCTGCTGGAGTCCAGGCTGCAAGATGTGTAGTGGCTCAGGGCGCCTGGGTGGCTCAGTCCATTGAGCGTCTGACTCTTGGTTTCAGGACAGGTCATAATCTCAGGGTCATGAGATCAAACCCTGTGTTGGGCTCCACGCTCATTGGGGAGTCTGCTCCCCACCCCCGCCAGCTCCTGTGCACGTGTGTGCCCTCTCTCTCTTTCTCTAAAACAAATAAATAAATCTTAAAAAAATTAAAAAGATGTCTAGAGGCTCACTGCTGGTGGGCATCATGGTGTTCTAGAAAGAGTGAAATCCCTGAAGTCAAAACGGACTTAGGATTGACTCCCTTCTTCCTTATTACCCGCATCTTTAGAAGCAACTTACTCACCTTTGCTCAGCCTCAGTTTACTCGTTTGTAAAAGTCTTTCCTTGAGAGGAATAAATGAGATAACGTGTAAAGTGCCACCCCGTTCATAGTAGGTGCTTAGTAAGAGATACCTGCTATGACGAGGATGGCATGAGATTTCACTTCCTAATGATCTGTGCTCTGCTGTCCTTGAAGAAGCAAACAGGGGAATTCTAGAATATTGATCGCCCTTAAAATGTCAGATGTGGCCACCAAGGATAAAGAGATGAAGGCATGGGATTTCCCCTTGAGCATTTTCTTGTCTCCTGGTGAGACGTTCCTATAAGTACGCAAATATAATAGAATGTGATAACAGACACGGGATTTCGTATAAAGTAATAAAACTAAAGAATTTGGACGCTAAAGTGCCTAACTGGTATGAATCTTGCATACGCTTTGAAATGTAATCCTCTCAACAACCCTGTCACATAGGGGCT